TATATGTATGTATGTAGATTTTTACCAAGTGGAAGCCATCACCATTTCTCCCTCTATACAAGCCTTAAGGCAGAGGATAATAAATCTGCTTGCTCTCTTCCAACAATCTCGTGCATCTTTAGTGTGTAACAAAAATTACAGCTGATACCCTCACAAAATGGAGATTGGTATGCTCTTGCTGTTAACATTATGATGCATTTGATTTTGCACAGCCTTGACAGAAGCTACTCTAGCTGCATTGGCTGCTCTGTTAGCAGCTGCTACTGCTCTATTCACTCTTTCATCTACCTTGGCCACATCATAGGCCTTCTCAGCTGCTCTTCTTGCTTCCTGTTTGTTCAGAAACAGACAAATTATTAACTATGAATGCTCATGATGCAAACAAACTGTATGCAGTAAATTTTGTCACTTCTTTCCTTCTATTTAAATGAACTAATTTGATACATATAAAAGACAATGTTCAAGTCTCTGACATTCTCTCAGCTTTGTCCATATGGAAAAATTTTAGACAACCAAAACTTTAGACAGTACGAGTGGCACCTCCTTAATTATTGACTAAATGGGGACTTTTACCATATTATCTTATTCAACAACGCCTGAATGTAGGTGAAACCTGTGGAAATTCTGGCTAATTTGTCCTGTGTGTGTAACTGTTAGGTTTCTTGGTGACAAGAAACCAAGACCTCTGTTTTGATGACAGAACACATAACACACACTCACAGCAGAAAAACCTTGTATTATTCTGTGGGTAACCAAGAAAATGTTCAATAACATCCAAGGGAACAATCTCCCTTCTCACAGGTACAAACCTGTCCACAACAAAGATACAAAAACGTGTCTGTCTCAAGACAGCTTCCCCCCTTATATAGCTAACCCCCCAAGAGACACTACACAGCCTAACAACCTCAACACCTCCAGACTATGTTTTGTTTTTATTCCCTTTTCTCCTAACTTAGACCCTCATGGTCCTATCATTACTCACCGCTGCAAAAACAATCTTGTCCTCAAGGTTGTAGTCTAGAAAGTGGTTATTAATTGTTGCCATAACTTCCCATGTGGCTTCCTTTTTGCCTTTGGATTAACACTTGCTGCAAGACTTGATCTCCCATCAGCCAATTCATCCCACTGGGGCAGATCCATCAGCTGTGGTGGCCTTCTTCCCATCGTCTTCTTTAGTTTGGTAATTTGAGCTATCACAAAACTTCCCCATATAAACTGGAGGATATTGCAGAACAGCAGCCACTGCACTTATCTGTGTTGCTTTAACTTTTCTGGATACTGTAAGGGATTATGCTTCCATACTTTCCTCCACAGTAGTACTTTTACTGTTTTCTACAGCAACTGTTTCATCCAGTAGACTGTTTCCAATTCCAGGCACTTCTATACTTTCCTCCACAGTAGTACTTTTACTGTTTTCTACAGCAACTGTTTCATCCAGTAAACTATTTCCAATTCCAGGCACCAATTGGGTATCCATAAAATCAGGTGATTTATTCCCTTTTGACAAATAACATGAAGAAAGTCAAGCCTTGAAGATCTCCAGCTTCATAATACTACCGCTATCACTGACTCGTGCAATTTGATTCACATGAGGAAGTCATTCTGCTGGCTCAGTTTGACTATATAAAACTCTATCTATGCCAGTTTCAGTCACAACCACTCCTTCCTTGATTCCAGAATTTTTCCCCAATAGGAGTAGATTCAGATTCAGAACCTGTTTGCTTGTGAACGACTAAACCACTCAGCTTCATAGACAGAGGCCTTCCAACCTCCTCTGCAGCTTCTTGTACAGCATTGGCAATATCGATGCAGCTACTCTGTTTAACCCTCTCATCAATGTTGTCCCCAAAACGCTTTAACTGTGATGGAAGACACCCCGCATAGGTTCCATGCCCAAAGTAGGTAACCAAGAGATCTGTTCTTTTGTTCCAGCTTCAATGCGTCATCAGGTGTGTCATAAATTAGGCCAAGCCACCAAGCTTTACTATGGGCTTCTCCCCAACCCAAATCACCAACAGCAAAACCATACCCTTCATCTCTGAAGTCCTTCACATCTACCACCATGTTTTCACTTGTCTCTGCCATTGGAACCCCTATAGTCATAGTGTTCTCAGAACAATCTGTCTTTTTCTACCTCTTCACTGCCTCCCCCATCTTTTGCTTTCTCAACACCAACCACTTTTTAACCATCCACACTCAACAACCGCATCTTCTACTTTATTCTCAAAAGTAGTAGTCACCATGTTTCCACCACATTTTGCTTTCTTTCCTCAGTCTTCACCCTCCTCCACTGTTTTAATATACGCACCAAGACCTACCACACTCTTCCCACTAAAATCAGCAGCTTTTGCAACTTCATTCTGAGAAGCAAGAGTCACAACATTCCCATCACAGTCTTCACCTGATGTATTTTCCCCGTCAACCTTTGTCAAATTATCCTCCCTTAGAGCAACAGCTTATGTCACTGCACTTATTATCAGCCCCAAACTAACCATCAAGATCTTCCCAAGAAAGGTTCTTGGATTTTTGTTGCCAGGTGTACTTCTGGACTGCATTTTCTTCCATGCTATTGATGGTTAGGTGTACTTCTGTTGTTCCTGTGATGTTCTGAACTTCAAAAACGTTTGTTGCCCTTGTTGTGTGACCTTGGGTGCCATTCCCTTCAATTATGGACAACTCCCCTCTTTTTTTCCAGCACTTCTGATTTTCCACCCTTTCTACCTCAATTTCTTCTTCAGGAACCTCTCTCCTTCCTCTTTTCTCTCCATTCACAGAGCTTTGGATGCCTGCAGATTCCCTTTCATGGGATCTTATTAGCTTCCGCAGCATATCTTTAATTTCTTGGAAGATCTCCCTGGTTTCTTGAATAGTGTCCTTCCTTTCAGTTATAGCTCTATGGGAGTCTAACTTCTGCAGCATATCTTTAATTTCATGGAAACTCTCCCTATTTTCTTCCTTTAATTCGTCTATGGCTCTTCCCTGTTTGCTGGCCAATCTTTCCAATGTACTCAATCTTCCTTCCATGTCTCTTGTTCTTCTTGATCTGGCGAGTCAGACCAATTGTTAGGTTTCTTCGTGACAAGAAACCAAGACTTTCCCTGTTTTGATGATAGAACACACACTTACAGCAAAAAAACCTTGTATTATTCTGTGTGTAACAAAAACTGTTCAATAACATCCAAGTGAACAATCTCCCTTCTCACAGGTACAAACCTGTCCACAACAAAGATACAAAAACGTCTGTCCCAAGATACCTTCCCCCCTTATATAGCTAACACCCCCAAGAGACTACACAGCCTAACAACCCCAACACCTCCTAACAGACTATGTTTTGTTTTTATTCCCTTTTCTCCTAACGTAGACCCTCATGGTCCTATCAGTAACATTACATTTTTTATTAGAATTTCAGTTCAAAAGGCACTTATTCATATGCAGATAAGAAACCAAACTTGGAGACAGAATTACAACCAAAGAAAACCATTACAACATTATAGAGCTTTTTGTTTCGCTCTGATTCATGACATGATTGACACTATCAATTTCATGACCTTGGAAGATGAAATAAAAATGTTAATGAAATTTCAAAGCCCATAATAGCGCTATATAAAGTTCCATTTAAAATGCTAAAGTTGATAATAACAGTTATAAAAGAATACCAAATTTTTTGTTGGGAGACCCATTTATAAGTTCATAATTGTTTAGGTTTTCTATGTTGAAAATTAGTAAGGTGCTCAAGGGAAGGGAGTGTAGTTTAAGCATCTCTCAAAAGAGAGGATAGAGTAATGTACTCAGAAGACTGATACATCCATTTTCCCTTGTCACAAAATAGAAAAGCACCAACTACAAAATTGAATCCATCCAGACTGATCATTCTAGGCCAACGTCTTTTCTTTAATGATAAATCAAGAAAGAACACTAAACAATAACTTAAGGTAAACTAAGTCACAAATGTAGAGTGTACCTGCACTGCATTTAGTACCCTGGAATGATTGACACCAACAGGAGAAACAGGATAGGTGGCACTCTGTGTGCTGGGAATGTCAAGGACCCCATTTTGCCAGTGACCAGACTGGGTTTCTCCATTTCTAAACGTATACATTCCAAGACCTTGCCTTTTGCCATCATGCCAGGATCCTTCATAACAATGACCATTTGCAAATCTATATACTCCATACCCATGCATCTTATCCGCAAAGTATTCGCCAGCATATGCATCCCCATTTCTGATAACAGAAATAATGTTACAACAAACATAAAATACTATTACTGTTGACCATCGAACAAGGAACCAATTAATGCACTACATAATTCAATTCAATGATAATACACCAATGATCCTTAGAAGAGAGGCACCCACACTCAAGGAAAAATCAGAAAAATGTTCTCATGCATCCTAGGACTAAGCCCCAAATTTCATTAACTGCATGCCCAAGATCCCATTCAGTGATAGTTGACAACACAGTCCATTTAAAAAAAAAACAATGAAGAAGATTGCTATACAATAATAGCAACTACAGAGACACCAGAGAGGAGAAACAGAATGCAACAATACCCATAACCCTCTTTACTCCTCGCATTTACTCCTCGCATATACTATATAATTAATTGCAATGTCACATAATCCCACAAGCATGCATTCGCCATCCTCATCATAGTACTTTTTCAGTTGCCCACGACTATGGGATCACTTGACACCGATTCAGAGAACAAATAGTACTTTTTGTTTTTTACTGACTAGTTTCCTGAAGTGGAAAAAACAAAGAGAGAGAGAGAGAAGAAGAAGAAGAAGAAGAAAAGACACTACACTTGATAGGATATAAGGTAAATAGGATATAATGGGTGTAGGATTGAAGGAAGAGTTAATATCCTAACTGCTTTAGCAGTTAGGATGGACCGGAAGTGACTTGTATAAATAGAATTCTATTCTTTTGTTAGAGGGGAGTTTTTGAACCTTGTTTGTATAGACAAGCAAGCACCTTTGGTCCTATGGGGGAGGTTAGGCTCCCACTGATTGCTTGTACATTGTATCTTACCAGTTTTGAATACAAGAAACCCATTCTTTTGTTATCCGTGTGTGAGTGGCTGTCTGGTTTGGTTTCTTACCCAGAAACCTAACAATTCGGTCCGACCTACCAGATCCCTTGGAGAGGAGAACGTGATGAAAGTAAGAATCAATACTTTGGAAGGAAGAATCAATACTGTGGAGAGGTGGGTCAACGAATAGAAAAGAGTGCTAGCAAAATGGAGAAGAACTACCCAA